ATGACATCTGTGCTCTCCCACTACAGATTTAACCACAAAAGTACCTCTTCTACTATCCCAGCTAGCATAAATTTTGAAAGGACACCCAGGTACACATTTAGCACCTAATCTTTGCTGCCTTTTCTTATCACTTACACTAAACATTAGGTTTCTTCCTTAGGCAACTGCAAACCTCACAACTGCATCTCTGAATTTTTCTCTACTTTCAAACCTAGTTCCTACTTTCCACTCAAGGATCTTATAGTCTGTGTTTTCATCCACAACAGGTATCTTTTGTCTCCTCCTTTTCTGCAATGTATTTTGTTCTTCATCTTCCTCAGGTGTTAAAATCTCATCCTCTGTGTCTTCATACTCACTGATTATTTCAGAATCTGCCTCTACCTCTTCTTGTACCTGACTCTTTCCTTTCCTCTTACTTTGTCCAGGAAGCTTACCTTCAGCAGCTTCCTTTTGTAGTTGGGCAGCAATCTCAACTATCTTAACATTCCAGCCCTTCACTTATTCCCTAACCCTGTGATACTCTTCATCACTAGTTTCTTGATCTGAACCAACCATTCCATCCTCCATATTCTCCCTATCTTCAGCTTCTGAAATATCAGCTTCTAGGTCACCAAGTTCAGCATTTATTGTGTCCTCTTCAAATGGTGGAGTGTGTTCTGGGTCAGAGGAGTCATCTTCTTCATCCCATGTGAAAGGACTATGGGGTCTATCACTTTCAAATGCAGCTGAATCATCTGTGAAGGGTTGTGAAGTATCTACACATTCACCAATTTGAGCATAGCCCTTTGCAGAAGCCTCACCTTGAAAAGTGGAAGAAATTGCATCTATCATTGCCTTCACTTTACCTCCTCCCCTTGGACTAAGTTTTTTCTTGCTCTTGGATGACTTCATCTCTGGAAATTCAGTTTGTCCCCCATATTCAATGGCTTCAATTAAATCTGGAACATCAATGCCATGAATGACATAACAGTCTATGCACCTGTTCTTTAGCACCAGACTTATCAAATCCCTCACTTGATCATCATGATATGCCCTTTTTAAGCCCTCTTCATAGGTAAGATTTGGAATCATGTAGTAAATGGCATCTATTGTGGAGTAATCCCCACATTTTTTAGCCAAATCTTCTAACCAAAACCAGCACAGTTCATCTGCATCTATATCAAATGTCCTAGACTCACCTCCCACATATTCTAGTGTTCCCATGTTGTTCTTCTTAAATATACCCCCATGCCATATGCGCAAACTGACATGAGTGTCATGTGTTACCTAATATGTTAACAAACAGAAAGATATGAGGCACAAACCAAAAGTGTGAAAAGTTTGAAGAATCGCAGTTTTGTAAGCTATCAGTAGCTCTGCTACAGGCTATTACTGGAATATAGTTGTATTACATAATTAACATATAGTTTTGTAAGCTATCAGTAGCACAAACGAACATAATTAATACCACAAAAACAAATGAAATGAACTAAACCACATGAACCCTAAATCCCTCCCCCAATAATGTTATACACGAACAGTAACCATAACTAAACACGAACAGTAACCACAACGAAGAAGCTTACCATTTTCTTGCAATTGGAGCAGCAGTGTATAAGACCGGATACCAAAGCTTTCATTCCTTTGACGGCTGGAAATGGCGGTCAGACCTTCCTCAAACGGGAGAAGTTTATGGGGTGGAGAATGCGTTCAGGGAGATTAGGTTTGAGAGCTATGACCGTTGTTAGTTAGAGACTTTTAAAATTAACCGGGATGGCCGGTTGCCTATGCGTGAGACTGTTTGGGGAAGGTTTACCCCATAATTCGTATTAATTTAGAATAATCGGTAGAAGGGATTAATAATAGAAGAGTGTCAATAGGTTGGATTATTAGTGTGAATTTTTCCTTTTAAAAATTACAACTACATTAAAGATCCAGGTTTCTGACGTATGTGTCCTCCACATATACATACGGGTCTTCTTTGTCATCATCTTGTATTTTTGTCTCCATACTCGCCTCCATCGGTTGTGCAGTTCTGCCACCTCCACCCAAGCTAGCTCCCAATCTAGGGTTTCAGGTTCGCAATCAACATCCTTCTCATCGTCGGAATCAGATTCTATCCCTTCAATCTTTGCCTCACGAATGATATAATCTAGAAATAGCATGGCATTGAGGGCGGAGTCTAGATATTCATAAGCGGGACTCTCGTGAAACGCGAAAGTGTTTTCACAGGATTTATTTAACAGAGATATATGTATCATCATTGTCAAAGGAGATAACATGCAGAGAAGAAAGAGCGACGGGACAAGGAAATGTGAGAGACAACGAAGGCTACAAAGTGAGAGACGAAAGAGATGAAGGTCTAGCTCGAATAATCAAGAGGTAAATGAGGGCACATAAAAAAGGTGAATAAGGGACATCGAAAAACATAAGGATACATAGGGCCATAGGAGAACATAATAATACATGAAGGGTATATCAACTATTTCATAATTAAATGTTTTCCAGATAAAGAAATTTGATCATTCTGAAGCATTCCAAAAAGGAAATAAGTGAACATCAAATTGGGACGAAGGGGGTAGTATATTACACATGGTCCTCATCCTATTCTTGCTCAACTTTATTTGACGACTTTGACATCATATTATGGACAATTGCTCGATCTATCTCTAAGTCATCTTTATTTGATGACTCTGACTATATATCATAGTAGGCTACTCGTCGTATCCTCTCGATCATCTTCACTTGATGACCCGGAGATCAAACGAGGTGGGGGATGAACTAAAGAGGTCGAGACTGACTAAATGAGTATGAAGCCAACGATAAAGATGAGTATGAAGCCAAAGATAAAGCAGATTAGACACATCAAATCAGACGACCATTGCTCACATTAGAACACCAATCTTGGTCATTCCTTTAATTTGCAGATAGGGACTATTGCAGTTGAATTCAGTAGCCAAAGGTAAGGGCTCACCTATTTTGCTTCAATCGGGGGCATTTGGTGTACTTTTTTTTCCTCACTAGGATTCTAGGAATTTCCCCATTGGACTTATTACTTGTGAGGGTTATAATGTGACATCTCCCAATTATGGACAAAAGGTGATGACCCTCAACCCATAGAAGAGTCGTCATGAGACAATCCCTACTCTACTTCTTTTCATCTCGACTACATTTTTCTCGAGGAATGGAGCACTATAGGAACGAAGGGCTTAAATTTTTAACACAAGCTCAAATTTTTAACAAAGGGAAAACTGTCAAATAGGTCCTTAAACTTTCATAAAAAAGTCAATTAAGTCCTTCTATAGGATGTTCTGTCTGGCCATCGCGATTGGGGTGGTTCCCGATGGATTTTTTTGATGAATATTTTTGAGCATCTTATTCATCAAGTCTAGTTTACTCATACCAAATTTCAGCTAAATATTCAATCGGGAACACATTCAAATTAATTCTTGAAGATAATTGCACATTTTTGCATTCTAAAATTAATTTGAATGCTTTCCCAGTTGAATTTTTAGCTGAATTTTGGTATGAATAAACTAGACTTGATGAATAGGATGCTAAAAAAAATTCATCAAAAAATTCCACCAAGAACCGCCCCAAATCGCGACGACCGGACAGAGTCTTCTATAGAAGGACTTAATTGACTTTTTTCTGAAAGTTCGAGGACCTATTTGACAGTTTTCCCTTTTAACAAATTAAATATTGCCAAACACATCGCGCATAATGTCACACCATATGAAGACTAATTGTCACATCAACAAAGAAGTAGAAACATAAAGCCCTTGGCCCCAGAATTGATTGTGAATGTCTCAGGTGTGTGACCTTCGATTGAGGATTCTCCAATAGGATTGCCTCGCCCAAAGCTCACCAATGAAAACATATCAATAATCTGGCTATCTGGGCAACAACAAATCAACACTGGTAATATCGGCACATAGCTCTAATCCCTTTTGTCTCGACCATATATGAACTATTGATAGAGTGTATGGACTCGGACCATAGTATGGTGACTATTTGGCTTGGACAGTGATCTACCAACGTCTAGTAGGTAACATTTATTTTATTAGACGCTTTACATTTCATTTTCACATGTTAGTATAACTTTTATACTCCCTTCGTATTAAAATAATTGTCCAAATTTCTTTTTCAGGTTGTATCAAATTAATTGTCTCATTTTCTTTTTTGTTTGAAACGAAATCTATTGTAAAAGCAAATGCAATACACTTTAATAAAGCATACAACACACTATAATACCAAAACCTCTCACTCTTTGTAAAGTGTACAATAATTATCTCAAATCACGTGAAAAAGCAAATGAGATGGTTATTTTGATACAAAAGGAGTACCATTTATTAGCTCTTTTTATATAATTAAGCCTGCTAGACCCAATTAGATAGCTCAACCCACATTTTCTCTATAGATACTCTTTTGGGAGCCATATAAAGAAATATTATTGGTTATATATACTGAGTTCTCTCTAGCCATTAATTAACACATTGTGCCCACTAACCGGTGCTCGACTACTAGCGTCTAGCTATTTCATATCACCTCGAACCCCTAAGATTGAAAAGGAGTAAAAGGTCAGATTGATCATCAAAATTGCATAAAAGTGTCAAATAAGTCCTTATATAGGAGACTTTGTGCTTTCAAGAAAAGCTTTGTAACCTGTGCTTTCTTGAAGATAACTGCGCTTTTAAGAAAAACTTGTGAAACTAAGATAGTGGATGAGGAGTCGTGCCTGCAAGTCATAGGCTCAAGTAAGATTATATCATAAAACTAATTTATTGTTATTTTCAAAAAAAAAAAAAACTACTCCCTCCGTTCCCAAAAATACTGCCCACATTCCTTTTTGGGTCGTTCCCGAAAATTCTTCCCACTTTCCCTTTTTGGACAATTTGTGTGGCTCACATTCATTTTACTTTTTTCTTACACAATCACAATCATGCATCTCCACTTTATTCCACTTAAGCGTGCCAAGTAGAAAAGAATTTTTAGGAACCGAGGTAGTAATTTATCGCTTTTTAATCTGGTATCTCTCTGATCCAAATGTACGAGAACAGAAACGCGTCACTCGCCTCGTGCAATCTGCCATTCGCGAACCGCGAACTGAACGCAGTCACGCAGAACCGTGAAGGCTAGAACGCCGGATTCGTTTCATCCACGAAGACCGAAGACGGAGAGAGGACGCAGTCACGAAGTCGGAACGCCGACCAAAGACCGCCAACCTCCCAGATACCGACGCTGCGACGGCTGCGAGCCTGGTAGCCTGCGACGCTTCACGCCTCCCGAAGACCCGACCGGCGCACGGCCCTGCCTTTTCTCAGGCTGCGATTCCGAATTCCTATTCTTTCCAGAATCCGGCCCCCTCGCCCCCTTCCCTTCAGACATCACTTCCTGTCTTCCTGAATCCCGACTTCCAGGTATTCTGCTATTCTACTAATCTGCTGTTTAACTCTAATAGTTGTTGATTGTGGGTTGATTAGTTTCTATATGTTGATTTCTTGTTTAATTGATTTGAGTGGTGCTGTACTTCTGTAGTGATGTTGAACTATAAGTGTATTGTTTTTTTTGGTACTTAAATTTAGAATTTGTGTTAATTTTATAATTGGTTGGATAAAGTTTGGAATTATGATTAAATTTATAAATTTAATTATTTTCAAGGTCTAATAAAATGGTTGAATCTGGGTGAGAGAGAGAAAAAAGAGAGGAGAAAATTAGAGAAAAAGGCCATTTTAAATTATCCCCCCTAGGCCTTCAAATATATAGGACCAGCCCTGAAAACATGGGGAAAAGGTAATTGTAGGAAAGGAATAAAGGATCCATCCTGTGTTCAAATTTTCATCCAACTCTCCGGCTGTAGTCAACGCTCGCTGCTGATTTGTCCATCTATGCTCTGCAAACATTGAGGTTATTGTCCTTATTGACTTCTTGTTTTCATTGTTCTGTACGTCTGCCGTTGCTCGTTTTGCTCCGTTTATATTTAGGCAATAGTTACAGAGTCATTTAGGTTGCTCGATAACATTATTTTCTTTGATAACTTACTTATAAAATTAGTATTTCCTAAGATTTGTCAGATTAAATACATTTACGTTTAGTAGCTACATAGTCGAATTAGAATTATTAATTATTTAATTGGTTGAAAAGTTATGCCATCTGTTCAACTCTGGCCTTTCAGGTTAGGACTTTTTTCCAAAGCTCTTGGCGTTACTAAAGTTGTGTATGCTTTGCTGTCATAATAATTGTTGAACAGATAATTGAATGAAGCAATCCAAGGATCCTTTTGAAGCTGCTTTTGAGGAGCAAGAGGAATCACCCCCTGATTCCCCTACAGGAGCTGTGGAAAATGAAGCCCAAAATGAAGCCTCTCTTGCTCTCAATGATAATGGAACAGATGATTTTGCTTCCATTAATCATTCTGAAAACCCTTCAACCTCCTTTGCTGCAACAGCTCCCACCGCAGCTGCTAGCAAACCCAAAGAAGATGATGAAGAAGAAGAGGAAGAGCACATGGACATGCAGCTAGGAAAGTTATCATCTACTAGCGACCCAGATAAAATGGCCAAGATGCAGTAAGTTATCATAACCTTAGTACTCCTTCCGTCCCTAAATTGTTACCCAATTTGACCATGCACGAATTATAAGAAATTAAGAATAATCGTGTGGTTAAGATTTACTTAGAATAGAGAATTATTAAGAATCCTATATTGTTATTCCTAAAATGAAATAGACAATATCTTTGGGACGAATGCAAAATGAAAGTTCGTAGATAATATAAGGACAGAGAGAGCAGCTTTTATGGTTTTGTTGATCTGCCAAAACACAAGTGGTACTAGGGTATTCAATATTGCCTCCCTTGTCTTCTCCCAGCAATTTAATTTGCAACTTTGTTGAGAAATAATGTCTGCCTGGCATAGTAGTCAATGGCTAGATATGGCGCGCGCCATATGCGCCATCGCCATGAAAAACTGGTCGTCGCCATAGCGCCATATGCGCTTTATGCGCTATTCATATATGCGCCATGAAAAATGCCTTTGAGCCATGGCGATCGCCGTGCGCCATGACCACTATGAGTGCCTGGCTGCCTGCTTCAAACCTTCGTAAAAGAATTATGATGAGACTGCTTTAAGAGTTCGAGTTATATCTTAGGCTATCTTCTAAATTTATAAAAGATGTGTCTAGCTAAGCTGAATCTATTGCTTAGTCAGGGTTTGTGGATAGATAAGGGTATGAAGGAAAAGGCATTCAATTAAAGATGTAATCCTGAGAGCTGTGAGTTGCACACAAGCTTTTCTTACTCACTAGTGTGGATGTGTGAAGAAGAAACTCATTAGAGTGAATTATACATTTTGTGCCCCCCTCCCATCGCATTGTATGTCTACTTTATCGAAAAACGCACGTATTAGACATCCAGATCTTTTTTTATGAATAAAAAACTTGTGCAATTTTACCAAATTTACTCTTACTTAATTCAACATGTTTTACATTCTCTTTTCATCTATTTGACTATTTCAGTGGGATCTATGTTTATTTTTTATGGGTAGAATAGGGAAACTGTAATTAATCTCCCATGAGATGACTAGAGTGAATGAGTGACTAATGAAAGGACCACCAAAATTCTCCAAAAAGTGAAAAAATGAATAGGACCAGAAGTAGCAGTTTTGCATTTGAAATGTGTGAGGCATCTGGAAACTGCCTGAGTCGGAGGTCTCAGTAAGAGGTATGCACTGGTGTGATTGCGCTATTGGCTATTCTGATATGGAGTCGGGTGTTTTCTTCTCTGTGGGTTGGAACTTGGAAACTTGTATGTTTATTGACTCACAGAGTTTAGTGATCCTAGGCAAGTGCATTATCTTCAGTTTTTCAAGTGTGCGCATAGAAACACCTTTCTTGTGCTTATGCCACTTCTTTTATAATTCTAATTAAATAATTCACTCATATTCTTGTCCATATGCAGAAGCATTTTGTCACAGTTTACTGAAGAACAAATGAGTAGGTATGAATCTTTTCGAAGATCAGGGTTTCAGAAGGCTAACATGAAGCGGGTATATTGTCATCTCTTATGTCGCTGGCATACTTTTTTTCAAGTATTTACAATTTACCTTGTTACATGGTAAGACATGCACCATACAAATACATGATATATGTGCCATTTTGGTTACTATGTTGGCAATGCAGCTACTAGTAAGTATTACAGGAAGTCAGAAAATTTCTATACCGATGACTATTGTGATGTCTAGTATTGCAAAAATGTTTGTTGGCGAGCTCATAGAAACAGGTATGAGAAGTAGTGTTCGGATTTGATTTCTTCAATGGTCAAGAAAAGACCACAAAGTAGTTTTTTAAACAATGACAAACACTACTTATAACATTTCATTGTTTGCTAGCTGCATTCTCGTATATCTTAATATAATGGATAATAATGCCTTGGCTATTGGGATGTATGCAGCTAGAGTGGTGATGTCCGAGAGGAATGATGCTGGACCAATTAGACCATGTCACATTAGAGAAGCATACAGAAGACTAAAACTTGAGGGGAAGGTTCCAAAAAGATCAGTCCCACGACTTTTCCGTTAGAGAACAAATAACAATCCCAGTTCTTTTGAATGTCTTTGTATTCAAGTTTTCTTAGTGTTTTCGATAGAAGTTTTTTATAGCTGAACTCGGAGAAGGTTTTCCTTCTGTATAACATTGTGCAGTGTTATACCGATCCTTATTTTATACACACATCAACTGATAGCCATACCATTTCAAAAACTAACGGAGCCTTTCTGAGATCCCGTTGTAGCCTGTAGGAATGAAGACACTCAAGAGTCAAGAATGGACCGGTCTTCCATCTTTAATTCAGCATATTAGAAAAGTAGCCAGAGTATTGAAAATGAAGGAGAAGGATTTCATTACTTCCGTAATACCAGCACATCAGTATTTATAGAGCAGTAGCTCTTAACAGACTTGTAATAGAAAGTAAACAGCTCAAACTAACTTTAACTGCTAAACTGAATACCAAGCTATTACATTAGTCATGAATATAGTATTCCTAACATTCCCCCTTCAAATTTAGGGTAATTTAGGGTGATTGATTTGGAAGATCAATCACACTAAGTTTGGTCTTGAAATCAAGGAAGGATGAGGCAGGTAATGGCTTTGTAAGAACATCAACAATTTGATAGGGAGCTGGGATATGGAATGCATCAAGCTGTTTTGACCGGACTTGTTCCCTAACAAAAAAGAGGTCAATTTCCATGTGTTTTATGCGAGAATGATGTACTGGATTGTGTGCAAGTTCTACTGTACTAAGATTGTCACAGTAAACTCTAGGAGTGGTAAAAGGAACATGAAGTTCCTTAAGCAAAGATTGAACCCATAGAAGTTCAGCAACTGTATCAGCTAAGCTCCTGTACTCAGCTTCTGCTGAAGATCTTGCTACTCTCAACTGCTTCTTAGACCACCGGGAGATGATATTTTGGCCAAGAAAAATGCAGGATCCAAAAGTAGACCTTCTATCAACATGATGAGATGCCCAGTCAGCATCACAAAAAGCTGAGATTGGCAGAGATATGGAGGCTAGAGACTTTAAGAATTGAGTAATCTGGAATGGTTCCATAGAGCTGGAAGTAGGGACTGGAATTAGCAATGGAAGTGGATGGGGTTCTATTTATAAGATGAACTGAGGTTGAGAAGGCAGCATCCCAGAATTTGAAAGGTAATGAAGAATGGGCTAAAATGGATAGGCCTTTTTCCACAACAGTCCTGTGTTTCCTTTCCACAACACCATTTTGGTGATGTGTGTGTGGACAGATTAGCCTATGTGTGATCCCATTTTCAGTAAGAAAATTGGTGAAAGATCTAAACCCCCCTCCCTAGTCAGACTGAACAGATTTTATAGATGTGGAAAATTGAGTTTGAACATATTTATAGAAGTTTTGAAAGGCTGTGTGAGAGCATCATATTTCTATTTCTGAAAATATATCCAAGTATACTTGTAAAGGCATCAATGAAAGAGATATAATATGAATATCCATCAAAGGATAATATGGGTGCTGGTCCCCATAGATCAGTAAAGATAAGATCAAATGGTGAATGATAAACAGTATTAGATGATTGTGAAGGCAGTCTGTGAGCCTTGCTAAGATAACAGGAAGTACAGAAAGAAAGATCACTCTTATTTATTGAAGGCACATTACAAATTTTTAGTACATATTTCAGTCACATTTATTACAAGTGGAAACAAAGGAAAGGGGATACAAAGATTTATTAGTTGTGGACACTACAGAAGTAGGCAGACTTGCAGACTTGAATTGATATGAACCAAGAGGAGGTATGGACTGGAACTTGTACAGACCATCTGCACCAAGAACTCCATGTAAAAGAACCTATTTAGAAACCTAAGATTTGACATAACAATCATGAGGATAGAACTCAAAGAAAACATTATTGTCTTTAGCAAATTGACTAACACTCAAGAGGTTTTTGGTGATGGAGGGAACATGAAACATGTTAGTGAGTGTAAGATACTGAGAATTAGAATAGGGAGAAAGAAAGGAAGAAAAACCAATAGATTTTATATCCACACCTTGACCATTACCCATAAAGAGTTTTTCAATTGAAGCAAGTGGTTCACTGTGCTGGAAGTTGAGTGGATCAGCAGTTATATGGTGAGTAGCACCTGAATCTGGGAACCATTGTTGAATGGATGGGGCTAGTCCAAGAATAGAATTGGTACTGACAAAGGCTGCAGATGGTAAATGTCTGACTGAGTGCTGATCCCAATTAAAAATCTCTGGAGCTGCAGATTGTTGATTGAAAGAGTGGTCAGGATGAGGTGAAGAATTGTAGTGTTGAGGTGTATTCTGCCTGGGAGCATAGGAAGTTGGATAGTTAAAATGAGGTTGAGGTTATAGTATGGATTAGAGGATTGTTATGAAGATCCAGTAGTAGAATTGGTATAGGTTGGATTAGGGTTTGAATTGGTAAAATTAGGATTATAACGGTGATAACATATTAAGGCATGATGTCCAGGTTTTCCTCACACCTGACAAATTACTGAGTTACGACCTCCAAAGCGACCTCCTTTACCTCTGCTAGGACCTCCACGACCTTGTCCTCTGTAGGAATTTGAGTGACTAGGGTTATTGAATTGCGCCACATTCCATAGCGACCTCCTTTATGGAATTTTTTGCCTCATTTAATTTGTCTGTTGTTCCTTTTCCTTGCCTGTATGAGTCGCTTTATGGTTTTAATCTGCTCAATCGACGTCTTCTTGCGGTTTTGGACTTAGAAATTTCCTTGGCTCGATCTGACTCATTCGGGATGCGTCAGCCCTTGAATTAGGTTTTGGACTTAGAAATTTTCTTGGCTCGATCTGGCCCGTTCGGGATGCGCCAGCCCTTGAATTAGGTTTTGGACTTAGAAATTTTCTTGGCCCGATCTAGCCCGTTCGGGAAGATGTGAACCTTGGTTGGGTTTTCAATCTCACGTCAATTTCATGGTGGACCTTAGGGGTCTCTGCTCGGGATCTGGAGGACTTAGCCCAACCCCAATATTTTAGGACTCAAATTTTTGCTGGTTTCCTAAGCTGTTCAGTACTTGGGACAGTCAAAGCTCGTTTCTGTTCTTTCAAATGATTTTGGGCCGCTCGAGGGGTATTCCTTGTTTTGTTCTCATACCGTTCAGAGTACCTGCCCAGGGGGAGAATTTTTTATTCCACGAATCTCTTTCCATATGATTCGTACTAGCTCCTGATTAGCAGTCTGTTCGGGATGTTGATCTCTTGCGATCACGTTGCAGGCATTTGGGCCGCTCAACCTTGATTTTTTGTTGATTTGAGCTTTGATCACCCGATCATGCAGATCATTAAGTAAGTTTTGGTGAATTACTTAGTTAATGCCTGCCATCTTCCAAACCCCTAATTCCGATGCAACCCGTTCGGTTCTACCGTTCTAGGCCATCCATATTAAGGGTTTGAGATGCCCATTTTCAAACTAAACACAAAATTTCCTGTTCGGGTCATTGTTTGTGCTTCAAGCTAAAATGGAGACTCACCTCCAAGTTACAGCTCGGATTCCACCATAACGATTCCCCTTCGTCGTGGTTCGTCAAAGCTATAGACTGAGGCAAGATTTAAAAAACCAGAGTCCCGACTCCCCGCTCGGTCACCCGTATCACCGAATGCCGCCCGGTTCACCCTACTCACAGTTTTACACCATCTCTAAACTGGCTTGGATCCTCTGCTCGTTCATCCAGAGCACAAGGCCAAGTCCAAGATGAAATGGAGGCTCCCTCCAGACTAAGATGGTGGTTCTCATTTGGTGATCCATAATGATTGCCAACAATGCTTGGTCGAGGTGAGGCTTCTGGCCATGGTTGCAATATTGCCACTTGGTCTTTCTGACCTGGTTATCCAACTTTTGGCCTTTCGCAGAAGTACAATTGTCCCTCTTTTTTTCCCTTTTTTTTAAAGAGGTGGCAACATTTGTTTCATTGATAAAACTTCCTTTGATGTTCGACATTCCATGCTCCTGCCTACCGGCCTTCGGTAGTCTGAAGGCAGAATGTTCCTGTGGCATATTTCTTCTCACCCGATAGGGGCCTTCCCCGTTTTTTGCCATCTTCCCGCCTTCCAGCGGTTTGCTCTTTTCTCTCTTCTTCAGGACCAAGTCTCCTACTTTGATTGAACGGATTCTGACCTGTTTGTCAAAGTATCTCTTGGTTGCTCGGTGATATTCCTCCATTCACAGGGCTGCAAGGTCCCTCCTTTCTTCTATAAAATGGAGTTCAGCACGCAAGTTGTCGTCATTCCGTTCAGGATCATAATGGACTGTCCGGTGTGTGGGTACCAAGACTTCAGTTGGTACTTTGGCCTGGAATCCATAGGCAAGGGCAAATGGCGTCTCTCCGGTGGCCGTTTGGGGTGTTGTCCGGTAGGTCCACAGGATGTATTTCAGTTGTTCGGGCCAGGTGGAGGCATAGTCTTCTAGCTTCTTTTTCATACCATCCATGATGGTCCGGTTCATGTTTTCCACTTGGCCGTTCGCCTGGGGGTATGCCACAGAGGCTCTGGAGTGTTTAATTCCCCACTTGATGAGGAAATCTTTTAAGTTCCTGCTCACGAACTGTCTTCCGTTGTCTGTGACGACCTGCTCGGGAAGCCCAAACCTGCAAATAATGTTTTGCCAAACAAAATGTTGGCACTGGAAATCTGTGATGCTGGCCAGCGGTTCGGCTTCTACCCATTTGGTGAAGTAGTCAATCCCTACAATGATATACTTCCTTCCCCCTGAAGCTGTAGGTAGGGGCCCTAGCAAGTCGATCCCCCACCTAGCGAATGGTAAGGCAATAGTCATTAGGGAGTAGAATGTCGCAGGCCGTCCGGGAACCGGTGCATAGAGTTGGCAAACTTTGCACTTCCTAGTGTGCGCAAAACAGTCTGGCTGGATGGTCGACCAGTTGTATCCCTGCAAAATGATCTTCCTGGCCAGAGTCTTTGGCCCTTGATGGCTAGAACATATTCTTTCGTGGTATTCTTCCATCACAGTGGCTGCTATATCAGGCGGGAGACATCTCAGATAAGGCCCCCCGAACGTCTTTTTGTATAGCCGCCCGTCCACCAGCTCAAACATTGGGGCTCTCCTTTGGATGCATGTCAAGTTGTATATATCATTCTTATCATTCGGCAGTGTCCCGTCCTTTAGGTAATTGGTCAAGTCTGTGACCCAACTCGGCACTGCATATGATATAGCATCTACTCGAAGGATCATTGTTGCTGGCGTGGTTAGCACCTCTCGGTGCGCAAACTTCTGGATGTGTGCGGGAATGCCCTGAGCCCGCTCATCCAACGTAGCATGCTCCAATTTTGACAGGATATTTGTTTCAGCATTCTCTATCCTGGAGACCTGGTCGATGACCACCTATTTAAACTTGTTGATTTGCTCCTCGACCAGCTCCTTGTATGCCTTCAATCTTTCTTCCCTGGTCTCTGCAGACCCGTTTACCTGGTTTACTATCAGTTGGCTATCTGACCGGACCCTCATCCGGTCGGCACCCAGGGCCTTAGCATATTTCAGACCTGCAATAAGGGCCTCATATTCGGCCTCATTGTTAGTTATCTTAAATTCAAAGTGTATAGAATAGTATGCTTTAAACCCTTCGGGGGATGTGATCACAGCTCCCCCACCACAGCCCTTGGCACTAGAAGCCCCATCTACATACAACTCCCACAAGTTGTCCAATGCTTCCCCGTTCGATCCTTCCTCTGTTGGCCGAGTAGTACATTCAACAATGAAATCTGCTAACGCCTGACCCTTGATAGTAGGGCGAGGTTTAAAATCCACTTCATATTGCCCGATCAGGAGGGACCATTTGGTTATGCGCCCGCTCGCCATTGGATTCCTTAGTATAGTGGCAAGTGGCTGGGTTGTGTAGATGGTCACTGGATGTGCTTGAAAATAGGGTGCTAGCCTCTTGATAGCCGCGATCAAGGCTAGGATGGTCTTCTCCATCAAAGTGTACATGGTTTCAGGCCCGTTCAGGGCTTTACTCACGAAATAAATCGGGCGCTGGACACCCTCATCTTCTTTTATTAATACCGAGCTGACTGCAAGATCAGCCACGACTAGATACGTGTACAAATGTTCCCCTGGATCCGCTTTTGTCAGGACTAGGGGGAGGATAAATAAAGCTTAAACTCTTCAAAAGCAGCTTGGCACTCTGCTGTCCACTTGAACGGGTTGGCTTTCTTCAATATCAGGAAAAATGAAATTGCCCGACCAGCCAGCTTGGCGAGGAATCTGCTCAGGGCCGCCAGCCTCCCGGTTAGCCTCTGAACCTCTTTTAAATTCCTTGGTGCCTCCATGTCCATGATTGCTTTAACTTTTTTCTGGATTTGGCTCAATTCCCCGCTCGCTCATCATGTACCCCAAGAACTTGCCTCCCTTGACTGCAAAGGCACACTTCTTTGGGTTCAGTCTCATG